TTTCGTTACTGCTTAACCATAATTGATCGATTTTCTAGATGGCCTGTTGCAGTACCCCTCCAGAACATGGAAGCTGACACCGTCTCGTCTGCTCTCTATGTCAATTGGATTTGCAACTACGGAACGCCACTATCCATCACAACTGACCAGGGCACGCAATTTGAATCTTCACTATTTTCGGCTCTTGCACGCCTTGTAGGAGCGCGGGTAATCCACACCACGCCCTATCACCCGCAGTCCAATGGCATCGTAGAGCGCTTCCATAGGACTTTGAAGGCAGCCCTTATGTGTCAAGCACCCACGCCCTGGACGGAAGTGCTTCCGACCGTTCTTCTGGGTCTGCGTACGTGCCTGAAAGAAGACCTGAATGCCTCACCAGCGGAGCTCCTTTATGGGACACCCCTGCGTATACCTGGTGAACTCTTTACCTCTGAGTCACCCCCAGCTGATCCCCAAGTCTTCCTCGAAAAATACCGGGACCACATCAGGAAAGTCCGCCCAACACCTACGGCTCACCATATCAAATCTCGCTGCTTCATCCTCAAGGACCTCGCAACTTGCAGTCATGTCTTCCGCCGAGTGGACTCTGTTCGTCGCCCGCTCGAACCGCCCTACACTGGCCCGCATGAAGTCGTCAAGAGAATAAATGACCGAGTGTACAGCATTCGAATCAATGGCGTTGAGAAGACTGTCTCTGTGGACGCCCTGAAGCCAGCCTACACCCTTAAACCCGATACCGTTTCATCCACCCTGGAGAATCACCCAGCGTCATCCTTCACCATGGACCGCCCTCTTCGCACTTACTCAAAAAAGAAGGTTTCGTTCCTCCCACAAGTGGCTTCGTCACTGGGAGGGGAGTAGATGTGGCGTCATTGTTCCGCGAGTCCGTTGTGTTCAACCCTGGATGGCTCAACTATTGTGTGTACAACCCTGGCGGCCTGACGTGACGTGACAGAAGACAGCTGTCCCAGGTTGTTGTTTACTTCTAGTCAGCTTGTGGCCGCGCAATTATGATATCGTGTTGTTGTTAACAAAATAAAGAATTTCGATTTATTTGTATGTTCAGTGCCCAGAATTAAACCGAGTTATTAGTAAAACAGTGTTTTCATTCGCTGGTGATATATCAAGCAAACACATAGCAGTAGTAGCTATATATTTTTCGTTACTAGCGCCATCTATCAATAACCAGAAGAAATAAACAACCTTTAAAAGGGTATTGGAACATGTTAAGATTATTATTCCAATGACATGTGCGCAAAGTCATACTTTGTCGCATGCAAAACACGTGAAAGGGTATAATGAATCAAAAATACCCTTCTCAAGCACTCATTTGTGTGTGCAAAAGACTACTTTGTACACGCAAATGAGTATTTTGGAAAACTTCTAATCACAAAACCACTTATAACTTTATTAATATTCTACCAATTCTAATGTGTAGGTAATTGATGATTTTTAATAAGAATTGAATCCTATGCAAGATAAAATAGGTTTAAATCTTTAAATTTAGAGCTGTTTGTAGCTGAATTCAGTGGCGGCTCGTGGTATAACATATTGGGGGTGCACATAATTTGTAATTCATAATAAATGCCGGTTGCGTTTGTTTTGCTGGCGCATTTGGCCACTAATTTTTTAAATTAATACTTTACAGGTAGATTGTTAAAATTTGAAGAATGATAAAATTAAATTTAAAGTTGTTTGATATTAATTTGGGAGTGCACGTGCACATGTGCTCTTATGGAGGAACCGCCACTGGCTGAATTTGAAATATTTCTAGCAAGAATTGCTTCAAATACATGGTACCACCCTTTGAATTATGATTTTAAAATATTCAAACCTCAATTGCTCGGACATCGTTGAGCAAATTGCATTGGAATTTTCAGCACTTGTAGCTCTTATTAAGCACTGAATGGCCTTTGTAATTTACAATATATTGAATTTGAAGTTTTTGACATAATTTGGACTAAAAGTCAACTTTGAGGCTTAATTATTCAAAAACTTTCTGAGCTATGAAACTTAATTTTGCACGGATTCATAGAGAATTTAATGCTGTTTCCAGTGGTATATAATTTATTTCAATTTGCTTGAAATTTAACAAAAATATGGGCAATTGTTCAAGACCATGTCAAGATTTTGAAAACTTTCCAGAGCCAAAAATAGGATTTTCTTTTTATTTTTGTTTCTGCTGGAAATGGCCATTTGGAATTGAGGACAAGGTTGTTTTGCACTAACTTTGACCCGTTCTATATATCACTCCTTAAAGTACACCGATTAAAAATCACCCTAAGATTTTTACTGATTTTTGAGATTTAATAAATGATTTAGCTAGATTTAGCTTGATTTCCACCAACTATTTTAGGGCAGCGACAAGTATTCCCTAAAATGACATTTTTTCATTTTTACATGGAGAAATGTCAGTTTGGGGAATACTTATCGTTAAGGCCTAAGGCCTCCCTAAAATAGTTGGCGGAAACGGCCATTATTCTTTTCAACCGATTTAAGGAGATTTACAAATATTTTCAGCTGATTTATTAGGATTTAAGCCGATTTATAATGATTTTAGATGATGAACAGATATTTGTTGTGATTTATTGTGATTTTCTGTGGGATCTATGCAGATTTAAACTGATTAATGATCCTCAGTGTCTCATCGTTTGCTTGTCAATATACAGGGTGTCACAAGGAAAACGGTCTACCCCGATTTATTCAATTTGAAATGAAAATCTGGAAAAACGCTCGAACACGTCAATTTTTGATTTGAAGGGGAAATACTTCATCTTCAACCCCCTAGCTAGGGGGAGAACAACCCCCCAAATTTGAATAGAGGTAGGGGTCGTGTCATACCTTTTTTTAAAGGTCTGATCGAGTTCTTTATTATCCGTAACGAAATGATCGTAATGACAGCTAGTCAAAATTTTGGAAATGGACTATTGATTTAGTAGAAGTAAAAGTGATACTTATGTATTTCCCTTAATAAAAATTACCTATAATAATAATAGTGTGAAGGGATCATTGCCACACAAATCGATGGGCCAATTTTTTTTCAACAACTTGAACGTGTTTTTCTTTCGGCCAAACATACCTTTCCAAATCTTAAAACCATTCTTTGCGTCACAAAATACGCCATAGTATTTTTCAATTTCTATTTGTACCTCGATTTAAACTTTATTTTTTTTCTTAGTTTCTTCTGTCTGTATCGCTTCTTTCGTCTTTATCGTTAAAATATTTTGAATCATCTGAGCTATTGTCATGCGATGGAATGCCTGAAGATTCTTTCTTAGAGCTTTCCTCTCGGCTTTCCCCATTTCTCCTTAGTTTCTTCCTTTTTCCGAGTCGCTTTATTTTATTTGCGATTGTTTTTTAATGGATTTTTCTCTCATTGTTTCAGTTTTTTGTGATTGTATTGGAGGTAACCACTCTTTCAAAAAATGTACACGTATTGCGACAATCCTATGATTTCCTGGCAGTTGCTGCGATTTTTGCGACTGTTGAGGATTGCCATGAAAATCGGAAATCGCAGTAATTTTCAAGGATTGTCATAAATGTCTTGCTGATTGTAGTTCTGCCAAAAGGATTGTAAGACTGTAAAATGATTGTGAGACTGTCAAAATGATTTCTTGAGGGATTTCCAGAAAATGTGATAGAATAATAATGGTGGTATGAATGAAAACGAAATATCTTCTTCTACTACAAATATCCGTAGTATTTACTTTGTTACGAAGTAGATACTACATTTAGAAACTACCGGAAATTAGCAAATGCTTACTTTTGAAGTAAATACTGCGTAATATACTAAAACTTTGCTAATACTACTTGTAAGGTCTTGAACAATGATAGTTTTACTCCTTAACTTCTAAATTAACTCTTAAACTAATTAAAATCCAATAAACAAAACCTAACAAAGTGAAATAAAGGAATCACGCTTCCTTAAGTTCCTCGGGGTTCCCTATGACTAATTCCAAAACCTACCTTTGTAGTCGGGTCAACGATTTATTTGATACAATTTCCGGTCATGGGACTTTGAAAAGTGGTTGTTCAATGGCCAATTAATTTTAAAAAATAATCCAGATTTTCATTATTTATTGCTCGTGTGCGTCGACTAATAACGGACGACGCTTTCTTTTTGGTTACCTAATTAAAATTCATGCACATCTTAAAGTGAAATGTCGTTAAAAAAAAACTAATTGTAGGTAGCAAGAACAATAATAAACTTACAAAAATTGTGTTTTCTTCAAAAAAAATTAATAATGATGATGAGGACTACTGAGAATAATTTGTGATTTTAATTAAGATGACGTTACGTAATGTTGTAATTTTTGTCTTCCTACATTTAGTTTTGTTTTGTGTATGATCAAAATAAAGGCCTCAACTTAATTTTACAGTGTTTTATACAATTTAAATCCTAATGAAATCAAGAACAAATCAATTATTGGAAACTTGATATGCAAAATTACCTATATTTCCCGTGAAATCCGTTTATTAAAAACCGTAACAAAAACCATCGGTTTTAACCTATTTTATCTTGCGGTTGACTGAAATTAATAATAATAGATTAAAGCTGTAGGTATGATTTACCGTGATTAATTAAACAATTTGAAACGTTATGTTAATGATTGCTTATTAATATTGACAATAAATTAAAATGGTTTAATACAGTTTGAAATGATGATTGTTCACAGAGCACGAAGAGCTGTATATATTAATAATTTCAGAAAAATTTGGATACGGCATTGTGGTTTTTTAGGTCTTTGAGCGGTAATGGATATTTATCATTTTTTTATATTAAAATGTTTTTTGATGAATCAGTAAAATGGAAGATTTATAATAATGGACTGTAACGTAAAACTACTTTAACACACAAACCTACACGTAAAAATAAGATGCTTGACTACAGCATAACTTTATCCTTTATCCATCAAGTCTACCTAAAGTAGGTATTACTTTTTTAGTGAAAATTTGTGATTTTATTAAATAATATTACAATGAGAGTATTTTGAACTTACCTTTGACAGTAATCACAAAATTCAGTAGAATGAAGGAGAGCCAACAAAATTTAAAGGCCTCTTGCCAATTTGCCATCGCCTACATTGCATCTGTAACAAAAAAAAAAAGCATTATTTGTTTACATTAAAATAGAAATAGAAAATCTAGGTATTATGTATTTGATGCATGAGTTACATACGGCTCTACATTGTATATTTTATTTAATCAGCATATTATTTTTCATTAGCTTGCATTCTGTATTCTCTTTTTGTAGCTTCTACTTGCCGAGCGTCCTCAGTCAGAGCTTTGCATTCACTTTCGACGCTTCGAATTTTAATAAATTTTAAACGTAAAAATATTGTAATAGTTTTAAGTGAAATAAATTTGTTTTTAAAAAATCGTACATCGCGTACTGATTTGTAACTGGCGCAGTCGGTAGGATAGTCAGGAATCAATACATCGAGATATTTAGCGACTTGCAAATCTCTCATAGATAATTTTTATGATACTGTAAATGTAAATTGTTTCCAAAATATATTTTTAATAAACTCTCTTATAGGTAAACTTTTTGGCAATGCTAGATTAGTGGTTAATGTTCAGAATGTCTCCACCTGGGACGGTCTAAAAAATACATTGACTAGACATTTCGCGGACAGACGTGACGAGTCTTGTTTGAATAGAGACCTTGTTTTAACCAAACAAAATGCTAACGAGACCCCTCAATCTTACTATGATAGAATTCTCGAATTACTTAATTTACTCTGCAGTTACGTAGATGCTCACGACGATGTGGCTACTGCCCAAATAAAACGAAATTTGTATACAGAACTTGCTTTAAAAACATTCTTGGCCGGTTTAAGAGAACCTTTAGGCAACACAATTCGTTGTATGTCACCAAAAGATTTAGCTGATGCCATACAACTTGTTATTCGAGAGAGTAACACAAAATATTTCCAAAATCAACCCAATCACAATAATAGCAATGCAAATCATACAAAACCAAAACTTCAACAACATCAATTTCGATTTAATGTTCCAACCAGAAATTTTGGTTATAATAACTATACACCAAATCAGTTTAAGCAGCCCTTTCCGTCACAACCTATCAATATTAGACCTAATGCAAACATCCGCCCACAAAAATTCTTTTCTAACTCCCAAGTTTTTGGTAAACCAAAACCAACAAACGTATTCAGACAAAATCCTGGAAAAATCTTGCCAAAGCCCACACCAATGTCAGGTGTAAGTTTCCAAAACACCCAAAATTTCACACCAGTGGCTCAATCATCAAATTTCCAGCAACCACAACAACAGTACCAGCAACAGCCCAAATATGCATTTGAAGAATTATTTACTACAGAACTAGATCCAACTTCTGAAGAATATCAATACAGTTATTCAAACGTCATCAATCAAACGTACCCCGAAAATAATGCATATTATGATGAACAGCAGATCTATAACCCCGAAAATTCTTATTATTATTATGCTGACCCAGCACAAATAAATTATACAAATGAAACTCAAGAAGAACCGACCACATCAAATCAGGCTGTGGAATCAAATTTTCAGGAATCAGCCGAAGACAAACAAAATATTTGACGGAATCGCCCCCAGTGATTTCATTAAATTTAAACAACACCAGTGAACTCTCCCCAGTTCTCGTCCGGTAGTCGTATCGAACGGGTGCTTTGTATTGCTTGCTCTCAAAGTAAACAAATCGCTTTTTTGCCATTCCACTGTGTGAAAACAAAGTTTTTATCGGCACATTCCGCTTCCGGATGTGCCAAGTAATTTCCCAGTTTTCTGCGTCAAATTCATCGTCGGGTAAGTGCTGGTAGTAGCAATACCCAGTGTTTCTCCGGGGCTTTCGCCCCATATAAATTAGAGCCTTCTAGGCCTAAAACCATTTTTGGAATTTTTTGCTGCAAAATTCCGGAAATTCCACGAAAGCTGCCAAGCAGAAACAAGGAAGGGTTCCTAGAAACATCGGTTAGAACCCCGAAATAAGTTAGGGCACGCAAATTCTAACGCCAACCAACGGCAAGTAAGGGGACGAGAACATCCTACGTTTTACAAATAACACCTCCAAAAGTCAGGGCACGATTCTCCATACTGTCACAAAACCAAGTAAGGGGACGTGGACTTAGACGAAAACCGACAAATTTTTACACTAACTAAAGTCAGGGCACGTCTCCTTCGAACTAAGTAAGGGGACGTGGACTTAGACGAAAACCGACAAATTTTTACACTAACTAAAGTCAGGGCACGTCTCCTTCGAACTAAGTAAGGGGACGTGGACTTAGAACAAAATTTGCAAAAATATTTCCTGCAAAAGTTAGGGCACGAAAACCGTGAAGGTAGCCACTAAAAGTAAGGGGACGTTCACAGCCAGGGAACGTCCAATAAGTTGGGGCACGAGTATAAGTCAGACTCGGAAACAAAAGTAAGGACACCTAATTAAAAAAGGGAATCCTAAATAAGTAAGGGGACGTTCTCAGTCAGGGAACGTCCAATAAGTTGGAGCACGACCAAACAACCTGCACCTGCAGCAAGTGAGGGAAGCTTCAGAGCGAGAGGTCGTTTCCAAAAGTGAGGGCACACTGCCTCACACCATAAAATTCCTCAAGCAAAAGTGAGGGTACGCTAATTCCAATAGAGAGCGACAAAGTAAGGGGACGCTTCCCGTGTATGAGGGAACGTCCGATATAATGGCAACAGGCGGAATGCCCGAAAGTAAGGGGCCGTCCGAAACAGAGGCAGGCGAAGACGCCTCTAATGAATCGGATACGGGAAGCATCATGAGCACCACATCCAGCGTCTCACTACACAAAAGGAGTATCCCGAAGGTTAGAGAAAAACTGGAACATCAGGCAAGCTCGTGTAGAGAATGCCAAAAATACCTAACCTACATTCAGCACAAAAATCCGGATGAAGTCAGAGACAACATCGAAACAGTTATTGAGCATCTAAAACAAGCCCACAAATACACAAAACCCAAACCAGTAAAGCGAAGGCTCACCAAAAGCCCTGAGAAAGCAAATAAAATTATGAAGGGGAATGGGACCATCCCGAAGCAGCCCCTCAGACCACCCACCCCAACAACAAGCGAGGGTAGGCCTCCCTCTCCAATACTAATAAGGGAGACGGGATTCGGCAGCCTTTTCAATATCCCAGTAAGGAACCAGTTCCAGATTCTGGAGACAAAAGATCCGCAGCCTGCCGCCACTGACACTGCCCTGGATAACTCGAGGGAAGAGATAAGGGCTAAAGCCGCCCAAGCAACCCCCCCCCAAAGCACCTGTAGCCCCAAGAACAGGAAAGAAATCCCTCCCCCCACCGATAGTTATCCGGGGCAAACTTAATAATCATAAAAGATTTTTAGAAATGGCAGGAACCATAACTACGGAGCCTCTGGAGCTAAAATACGCTAGGAACTCCGTCATCCTGTACACTAAGAACGAAGCAGACCACAGCAGCATGGCTCGGCACCTAAAGAACGATGGTGCCGAGTTCCATACATATACAATGCCAAATGAGAAAACACATGCATTCGTATTACGCAAAATGAAGGGTAATTACACCATAGCAGAGATGAGGGAGTACCTAGCGGACAGATATGGGCTCCGAACTAAGGAGATATATCTGATGAAGAATACGGGGCAGGACAACCCACTGTACCTGGTGGTTACCAGCTCAGACTGGACACTAACTAAGATCAGAGAAAAAATAAAAACCATCTTCGCCTCCAGAGTACAGTGGGAAGAGCGGAAAAACCGCAAAGAAATAGCTCAATGCATCAGATGTCAGGCCTGGGGTCATACCATGACAGGATGCAACCGATCCAGCAAATGCTCAAAGTGCGCAGAAGCACACATGACATTCGACTGCCCCAACAGGGATAGGCAGTCGATCTGCGCGAATTGCAAAGGGGGACACCGGGCAATGTCGACTAGCTGCCCGGTGTACAAGTACAAGAAGCAGCTGCTGGATGAGAGGAATGCTCCCAGGCCTGTTTTTGTTCCTGCCCCGCAACCCCAAAACCCAGCCTGGGGCCGAAGAGCGGCCCAGGCCCCACGACAACAGCCACCACATCAACAGAGGCCACAGGGGCAAAGGCCCCCTCCACCGCAATTCGCCTACGATAGGGACTTCCCTAGTGGACTAGTGCGTGCTACTGAAACAACGCGTGAAGTGCGCGAGCCTATGGCAGATCGCCCTGGCCGACAAACCACCGCCAACCCTACGGAAACGTTCAATGCGCTCCAAACCAAATTTGCCCGCCTTGATGCGCTGGTGAATATGGACGGCATGCTGCGGGCATTGGACCACTACATTGGCATGCTCGAGGGATGCAAAGATGAGGTAGAGATGTTCAACGCCAGTCGCATATTCTTTGTAACAGATATAAAAAAGTTTCAAATAAGTCCAATTCAGGGTAATAACATGGAACGCTAATAGCCTCAACGGCAAACAAGGTGAGCTCATCCACTTCCTTCATCACGAGAGGATCGACATCGCTGTAGTCGTGGAAACATGGCTGGGGGATGGAGATCGTTTCGTGGTGAAAAACTACTCCTGCGAACGCTCTGACAGAGCCGGCCGCCGCGCTGGTGGTGTGGCGATATTGATCAGGAACTCAATCGCATACAAGCGGATGCCACAGTGGCACAGTGCCATCGAACATGTGTGCATCCAGCTTGCGAATGGCGTCCTGATCAATGGCTGCTACAACGCCCCGCAGACCCGTCTGTCAGTAGCCAACCTAAGTCCATTCTTCCCCCAAAACACTCGCTCCTTGTTGCTTGGAGACCTAAACGCTAGACACAGACTTTGGCGGAATCATAGAGGCAATACCAACGGTATGATCCTAAATGATTTCGTCAATGACCGACCGGAGTTGGTACTCCTCAGTACGGAATCGCCCACCCACTATCCTAGCAATAACATGACACCGACATACATCGACCTTGCCCTCAGCAAAGGACTCAGGGAACTTTCCGATCTCGTTACGATCAACGCCCTGAGCTCGGACCATCTACCCGTCTTTTTCACCTGGGGCGAACTTGATCCTCCCCGCCCACAAGTTCGTCTAAGTTATAAAAACTTC